TTTTTTTTTTTTTTTGTCTGACGCTTTTCCATCATGCGGGACCTGAGTCCTCCTGACATGCGGGGATGTTCTGGCTGATGTTTGATATTTGATGAGGGGAGTTTTATTTTAGCTGGGGGGAAAAAATAAAACAACAAGAGAAACTTACGTTTACATACTTAAATTTGTGTAAGACGTTTTGTGTTATGTAGTTGCGCAAATTAAAGGCATGTTTAAACTGTTTCTCCCATTAAAATGTGTTATTTAAAAAAAAATGACAGTCCCGGTGATAAGTTTTTTTTCTTTTCTTTTTCTCTTGGAAAGATAATTTTCTTTTGTGGTGCAGGCCTACTTTCAGACGGTTTATGACTGCAACAAGAAGAAGGGAAAAACATGGGTCATGCAGAGGTTCTGGTACAGACTTCAACCCCCTCAATTTCTAAATTTATAATATTGCCTGACTCAACTCTAAATATGTGGGAATATTTTTTATATTTCATCAAAAGTAGGCCTACAGCACGTGTATTTTTTTTTCATGCAACCAGTCTAAGACGCATCTGTGTTATAAAGCAACAATTCTCTACAACCCTACACATTAGTTCCGTTTTAATATTCCCCGTTAAAACTGGAATTAAACTTTTACTTTGCATGAACAACTTTCCCCCCCACGACCTGCTGTTCAGACACTCAGCTATGCTGTTATTTTATTTAATCCGGTAAAGATTTTAATGGAAACTTCATATCAAAACTCAGTGAGGTCACACAACGCGGTTCCAATTTCAAAAGTCAAAATCCTTTGAAAAGAAAGTATTGTCCCCTGACCTATTGACTATGTCCACAAGAAAGCGTTTTTTTTCTTCCTTAAGACAAGGGCTCTCTTATCCTCAGTGAGGGGTGCAATGCCCCTTTTTTGTACTTTTAAACGTTATTGTTTAATGACCAAAAACCAGAATTATACTATTAATAATTTAAAGACAGTATTTAACGGCTGCATGGGAGTTAAACAGGTACAAAGCGATGACAAAGCATTCAGATCGGGTGTGTAAAATTATCACCACATAACCTACGTCGGTGTTTATTATCAAATCCCTTAACAAGGGTTATTAACAGGGACAACGACAAAAAAAAAGTTACGTTGTTGCTTCCATTCAAATCCACTCCCGACATCTTAGTTATAGTCCTAACCTGTGAGGAAAGAAAAAAACTTTCTCTTGTCTCATGAGCGAAGACTTGACACTGTCTATAAGCGCCGGTCCTCTATGTCCACCGAAACTATACGGTTGAATAAATTCGGAGAGCTTTCAAATTAATTGCGATGTCCCATTGAAATAAATGTCGATTGGAAATAAACCACATTTTGACTCTGTGTGTGTTGACACGTGTGAGAGTGGTGGAGAGGGAAAGACACTTCTTCCACCGTCAGTTTTCTTCCTATTGAGGAAATTGAAAAGATGAAAAGAATACTTTAAAGAGAGATTTTTTTTAAAAAACGTGGCTGATAAGTTTAGCGTTGAACACCCCAGCAGCGAAAAGAGTTCAAAGTTAAAGTGAAACATGGACGGAGGGAAGTCTGAAAGAGGAAAACTCCCGAGTGTGCCCCCGCTGTATAACACTCTATAACACCCCATTATGTTTATCAGGCTCACTTGGAGGAGTTTGACAAACTATGTGCGATGAGAAGTTGCAGCTCGATGTTGTTTTTTAGTAAACTAACGTGTGTATGGGAGAGTTTCAATGGAAGCACAGAGCGAGGAAAGAGTGAAGAAGAAGATACAAAAAAAGGAGGAGGGGGGGTGGAAGGAAAGTGTAGATAATGCATCAACCTGTTCTCTTGTTTTCTGAAGAAGTCAACTTTCACGCCAGTGGTTGGACCATGTGGACAGCCCGCTTCTGCTCCTCGAGCCCCCGGCGCGTCCACTCTCTCGCGGCGACAAAGGGGGACACAAACCGACGGGACGAAAAAATTCAAAAACAAAAAAAAATGGAAAGAAACAGAGAGAGAGAGAGACAGAGAAATCTAGGATCTAAGACCGCAGGACCATTACTTTAAACGACAAAGCGTGCTCGTTAGTCCTTTCCTTTTCCCTTTTGTGTGCGTCCCCTCTCCTCGGAGTGGCCCCTCTGGAGTGAAGTCTGAACAATACTGCCGCTAAAACTCTGGCACTGTGCGCAAGTTGCCGCGGAGAAACAGCGCAGCTTCTCGTCTTGTTTTGTTGCGTCTGCCTCCTCCGCTATCTCTTCAAGAGGCTTATTCAGCGCGAATAACCTCTCCACCGGTCCTCACTTTTTGGCATCCCGTCTGTTGCTTGCTCGTACGCTGGAAATCAGGGTTGAATCACTAGGGCTGTGTGTGTGTACACGAGTGTGGAGTGTGTGTGTGTTGCGGGGGGACAGTTTGCTGCGCTACCGTAATGCTTCTAAAGCAGGTGCGCGTTTTCATCGCTGCCCTATCCTCGCAAAGCCCTGGCGCACAAAAGGAAAACAGCAGCCGGCGAGAGGTATCTCTCTCCCTCTCCCTCTCTCTCTCTTTCTCTCTCTCTCTCTCTCAGTGTGTGTGTGTGTGTGTGTGTGTGAGGGGAAGGCACTGATCTTTTGACCTCTCTTTGCATCCCGGCTGAGTTGTGCTATTGTGGAGGCAGAGAGGAACAGATGTTAGCCTGCACTGAGTTTTGAGCTCAGAAACCGTCAGAAACAAAGCTGGATCACCAAAACAGAACCAGTCTACTATTAATTATATAGATTTTCTACACTTCTAAATGCCACAGATTGTTTTCCATGTGCTGTGTTGGTAAATAAAAACAGAGGTAAACAAATCACTCTTCTAATTTCCAAAATATATGTTTACAAGTATGCATAACTTATATTTTTATACCCTTTCCCCCTCTTTACAGACCTTATAATAATATAACTTTCATCTTTTTTAACACTGCATGGTAGCATATTTCGATTCACAGCAAAAATGATTTATGTCCACCTCCCAAATGCTGTATTCCACAAATAAAAATTAAGTGTAAAATCAGTTTAAGTGGGTTCACTCTCATTATACACTTACCTTGCAAACAGACAGTTATATTGTGATTGGACTATTTTTTTTTTTTTTTTTACTGTCTGTCTACCTCACTATGTCCTTTATGTATTTTGGAAGCCTGACAACTCCTTTTGCAGAGTTATTACCACTTTTTTCACCCTCACCACCACATTCATTTACTAATTGACAGCATAATCAGTGTTGAGATTACTGTCTCTGATGAAATTTGGGAATTACATCATACCTGTCGCTGCAAAAAAAAAAAAAA